ATGGACACGCGCAGCTCGCACAAGAAATTGGAATCGCAAATTCAAGAATGAAGTGTCCGCCCTTGGCTCGTAGGTTGTCATTGTCGACACTTGGTCGTGAGTGTCGACTCACTTGATGGCTGCGCCAGCTTGGAGGCGTAACAGCCCTCCTCTTGCACGTGCGGCTTCACGCTCCGCCGTCGCGCGCACTCACATGCTCGAGATTTCAATTTGAGTTCCGCCATCGTACTTCACCGCGGTCATGGTCGCGCAGCGCCGAAGGCGTTCCGCCGAAGGCGCGGCGGCGAAGGCTTTCGCCCTTGGCCAACTCGCTACTTGTATCCATCCCGCACCGCCAAAGGCGTTGACTCCCAGCGCCGAAGGCGAACTCTCTAAAGATGTCCGTCGGCGTAGGTGCATCGCCGAAGGCGCAACGCCGAAGGCGGCTGTGCCGAAGGCGTTGGCCGTGGTCAATGGATCTTGTCTTGTCTGTTGATCCCTCTTGTCCCTCCGAAGGCGCTCTCGCCGCTGGAGCTCTGTCGCGCCAAAGGCGCACCGGTCCATCCCGCCGAAGGCATTGAGCCGAAGGCGGACCGTACGGAGTTGCTACCTCCGAAGTCATTTACCTAATCTTGATGCGTTGGCGCCGAAGGCGCCGTACAAAGAACTTCACCCCCAAAGGCAAACTTCTAGGGCCGAAGGCGGATATTCCGCCGAAGGCAAACTGCCTACGCCAAAGGTGAACTCCTTCTGCCGAAGGCGGATTTTCCAGCGGACTTACCGCCGAAGGCGAACTCCTTCCGCCGAAGGCGGACGTCTTCGTATCTTCCAATAGTCACAACTCCCTGAGTCCTCATCCGTTCCAGGCGTTCTTGGACTCGTTAGAACAAGCGTGTCAAGTTCTTTTCAACGAAACCCTAAAAAAGTCAAGGCGTTGTGAATTGAATAAGCTCTGAGGGATTTCCCTAGCGCCGAAGGCGTATCGCCGAAGGCGGATTATGCGCCTTGCGCCGAAGGAGAACTCCTTCAGAATTGATCGTTCAGGTTGGTGCGCCTGTTCCGGACATTGCGCCCAACTTCTGGATACTACGAGATCACACGAGACTCGCGATTATCCATCTTCACTCTATTTAAATGTACCGATCACCATTTACACGGCCGCTGCGGTACTGTTTTCCAAAATTGTTTTAAATTCCGCACAAAAACAAAAAGTGGGTTACCACAAGATGAAACGTAGAGTAGAGTGTTTGGTAGTTAGGATTTTAGAGTTTATAAAGTAGCTCAAGGCGTTGGCCTTGGGGGATTTTCTAGTTTGGGAAGTTCAGTTGAGGGACTCGTTTTCTCTGCGCATTTGTCTCCTTTGTTCTGTCACCGCGCAAGAGAGGCTACAGCTTGTCGAAGTTACCGCATTTTGTAGTTGAAGGCCTTCGGTCGAATGTTCTGAGCTAGCAGATAGTCTAGTCAGGATCTTCCAATTCGGACTTACACCTTCGGACGATTTTCCCTGTTTGTATTCCTTCAAGATTTTTCCCCCTCAATGCCAAAGTGAAGTTTTGTTAACTTCGGAGTAAGCATTGGTTGTAAATTCAGGTTGTGTGTGTTACGCTGCGCGAGGCGCCTTCGGAGGTAGCCCCCGTAGTATTTCTGGGAATGACTAGTGCCTGAGAATTCAAACTCGTCAATAGAATGATAAGTGGTGACACTAGATCTTTTCTCAATTGAGTTTCTCAGTTTGGATCCTGTATTCTCTGCGCGTTTTGTGAGTTGAGTGTGTTGTTCACCGCGTGAGAGTGACTTCGGTTTGACGAAGGTACCGCATTCGAAGTAGGAAGTCCAACCTGGATGCTCTGCACTAGCAGTGACTAGTGACAGAGTTGTAAATTCGGAGTTGGGGTCACTACCTGCAGATCCTCTAAGTGTACTCTTGGGAAACTTTTCCCCCTTAACTTAAGTAGAGGTCCTAATCTACCTCTGAGTTGTGCTTTTCCAGTTTCAGGTGTGTGTTGGGGTGAACTACGCTGCACTGTGCGACCTCCGAGTGACCTCCGAGTTGAGCAATTGCACTATTTCTGGGAGTGACAGTAGCCTGAGAATTCAAACTCCTCAATAGTCTATTAAAACGTGACACTTTGTACTCTGTGTGTTGCCTCTGTCCCTGTGGGTTCGACCTTTTTGCTGCTATACTGCAGTTTTAGCCTTTGATGGGTTATTACACTTGGACTCTAGTTAGGGTTTGAGATACTTAATCCTAGGATGAGCATGTTTCAGTTTAATCTCATATGTACATGTGCGAGAATAGATAATTTAGAAGTTGAGCTATGAAGTACTGATGTAACATTCTCGCTTTAGTGAAGCTTTAATTTCAGCCGGTGGACGTAGTTTCATGTGGAGTTGAACCACGTTCATTGATATGTAATTTGCATTTGTGATTCTCAATGTGTTATTCTTGTGATTCTTGTACAAGGAAAACATTCTAGATATTTTTCATTTCATTAGTTGTGTTTTGTCTTGGAGTGAAATTTTTTTCTTAAAATCTAGTGGTTTAATTTTTAAATGAACTTTCATTTCATTTCATTCATCATTGTTACTGCCATAGTCTATAAACGTTCAAATCTCTTATTGTAGATTTACTTTCAAAATGTCTTGAATGAAATATCATATTCCAATCTTCATATTTAATTCTATAACGTGATCTATACTCTATTGTGAAATGTTTGTAGTTCTCAACATTTGAACAATAAATTGCATGTGAAACTTTGTGTATTTTTAACAATTTTATTCTTAATTTTTAAAAAATATTTCTTTTCAAGCTCATATGATCACAATTCTCATGTCAATTTTTAACCTTTAATTATAACATTTTTGACATTAGGTACAACCTTGTATATAAATTTGATTTAAATATAAAACCGTAGGTTCAGTTAATGCAGAGTTACACTATAACATTGAATATTATTAAAACTTGATTTCAAAGACAATTTGTTAGAAACTTGCTTGTATAGAGATTTTTAGCCATTGTATTAAGATTGTGACTATAAGTTCAACTTTGCAATTCTAACTGTAAAAATTGAATCTTGGTCATCGTCATTTTTCATCCGTTATTATGAAAAATTTATGATTGAAAAATCGAAAGATTAAATTATGGCTTCAACTTCAAATGATTGGAAGAAAATAAAAAAATACTCCATAATTTAACTTAGAATATTCAGTAAAAAAAAAAATTAGTATATCATCTTTTGTACTAGAAATTTTAATAAGAAAATTTGGATGCATCAAAAAAAATATTTTTAGTATATGAATAAACAAAAGTTTTCAAAAAATACTGTTTTCAAAAAATCGTTGTAAGCTCTTTCATGTGAGACTTAAAACTACCAATTTAATGTGGATCTATACTGAAGTAGAGCTAGGTAATCAGTAATACATCAGTTTGCGAAGAGTATCATAAAATCGAGTAGTATGTAGTTCTTTATTCTACCTTTTGAAAAGTCATTGTTTGAATTTTGTCACGTATGCAGTTATATGAACTTGACAAACATACACATCCATCATTTATGTCATTACATGACACTTCATGGTGATCAAAATTTGACCATGTACTTAATAAGCTTACATAACACGAATAAATTGTTCTTCTTTTGAAACCCTCTTAGTCATATCAAAACAAAATATGTCACACTTTTCTCATGTCTGAAGATATATAACATTTCCAGCGCACAAAGGCATGGATCTGTGATGTTGATTATGCATACATTATTTATCTACACCTCGTATAACGCTATTGCATGGCAGAATCTAAATTTTAGATGACGGTGTACAGAAGACGATCAATTCAATTTCAATGGGCTGCAAAAAACCTGAATTTATATATCTATCTCACGTTATGCTCATGTTGCACTATAAGCGCCTGGCTCTTTGAGAGTTGGTGCTAGTGTGATGTCTATGTCTCTTGGTTGTGAACTGGCGTGGGGTGCATTCTGCAAGTGTTGACAGGTGTCAGCGTGCCTTGTGAGTCACAGCGTCATTGGGGTGCGTGACAAGTGACAAGTTTTCCAGTTCTTGAATTGCTCGAGACTTGTGTGGAAATCGAGACTTGAGGAGCTGATAGTTTCTCTACTCTTCTCTTCCCCTCAAGAATAGAAGAAGTCAAATAAACACTTTTCTAATTCTTCACTATCCATTCTTCCACTGTTTATTCCAATGTCCCGATTTTGACCCCACATTGAGTGCGTGTGATTCTGGAAGTTCAGCTTCGACATTGACTGACAATGAAATCTGCGTGCGAGTTCAAGGCTCCAGATTTTTCAAGTTTTAAATCACTTTGCTACATGACTCAGAACCTTGCAGAACACTACAACTGACCAATGGACGGTCTCATGGTGGAAGGAGACGGGCTACAGAGAACGGCCAGCTAATGAAACAGACCTCTCGTCTATTCTCGACCCCTCGACATGTTCGACATTATATGGAATCAACGCTTGTACTTTGGTCATGAGATGCGGATCATTCAAAAGGTCAACCCGTGGGATGAAGAACTCTCAGAAATCTTTATCAGATCGTTGTCTTGATGATCAACTCGGATGTGCGTCGCAAGGTGGTCAAGTGTGGCATGCGTGCACTGCGCTTTGACTCCTATCAGGTCGTTTCCTTGATGATCAACTCGGAAGTGCCTCGCAAGATGGTCAAGAGACTCATGCGTGCACGCGATTTGACTCTGATTAGATGTCGTATTGATGTGACTCATTCCCCAACACCTCATAGAGGGAATCTCGATGGCCGCATGTTTCCTAACGAGGCTGGATTCCATTGCATATTTTATTGCTACCTTCACTGTAACTCAGACTCTAACCAGAAAGTCATAGATGAAATCTAGCACACGGCAGGTAAACCATGGCCCGTATAACCTTCGAAACTGAATCATTATGCACTTTGAAAGGTGACTATGTCTATCATGTGACAACCCCACATGTCAAAAAATTAGTATAATATATTTTGAATTTAATGGAGAAAAACATTTAACGACTAGTATGACAACCGGAAAAGCCAGAAGATCACTAAACGTATAGTCAGACATGCGCAAGCTCAAACTTTCATCTGAGAGCTTGACTGGGAATAGGCATATTCACATCTCGTCCCTGAGGCGTGAAAAGTTTTTGATGATCAAGGTCAGAATGATCAGACCAGTTCGCCTTCAAAGTGTGTTATCGATCATTATCTTGAGGGCTCTTGTCAAGCATGTGGTAGCAAACTTCACACTGGGAGCGAGCGGAACGTCTTTCCAGTGCACAGACCAGGGAAATTTATGGTGTTTTGGAAACGCAAGTGCGAGTCCCGCAGGTCTGATGCTCACTCCAATCTATAGGCCCAACATGACTCATGTATATTACTCTCCCTCAGCCGGGATGGCACTGTCTACAACTCAAATCCCGCTGCAAAAGAGTGAGAGCGATCCGACCCGAACGTCGATCTCCTTCAGCACTTCTTTCCGCTTCACCATCGAACCTTCTTATCCAAATTATCGGGGCGACGGGATGGCATTTGTGATGCTCAGTGAAGGTCTTCAAGGCTTTTATGGAAGTTCTTTGGGAGTCTTCGATACACGCGGACATCAGATCGCCAGGACACTGGCAATCGAGTTTGACACTCATGAAAATTCGGATGTCGGGGACGAAAACAACAATCATGTGGGAGTGGACGTACAAGATGTCAATTCAACATTAGCAAGAAGCGCCTGGGATGTCAGTATAGATCTTGCTGGAAGTTATAGCATATACTCGTGGATAGATTACAACTCCTCGGCTCAAAACCTGGAGGTGAGAATCAGCCGTGACAAAGCTAAGCCGTCTCTACCTTTTATTGTCTACGCACTAAATCTGTTCGACGTCTTCCATCCAGACGAGCTAGTGTACGTCGGGTTTTCAGCAGCCAACGGAATCTGTGTATGTTTCAATTTCTACACAGTCCATGACTGGAATTTTTCATATGTTTCTGACCCTGAATCCATAATTCAAGTATCGCCTCCCATTCTTCCAGCATCATCTCCGGAACCAGGTGGCGGAGGCAAAGTACCGGTTGCTTTGATCGCTGGAGTCTCACTGGGTGTCGTGCTGTTAATCTCAATCCTGGCTATCGTTGAACTGGTCCTTCGACAGAAGAAATTGAATCGTCCTGAAGGTGGGGATATGCCAGCGCTCAGTGTGGATGGGATGGACTTGGGTGTCAGAAGAACTCTTGAATATGACTTTTGAATAACTTGAATATGTCAGAAAAACTTACATGGGGTTTGATATGCCATGCAGTTGTGTGATTCAAGAGTATCCTGTTTTTGTTGTATGTAATGTAAAATTAATTTTTCATTTGACAAGGTTAAAATTTGATGGTTCTTCATTATATTGGATGTATGGCAAGTGAAACATAGTAGTCAAAGTTTTCAAGTATGTGGCTATGCATATAATTATCAATTTTTTGATGATACTCATCTTTGTTGTTTCAATATTAGAATGACGGAAAAAAATTTTAAGATTCTTGTCAAATAATGTTTTGGATACCTTCTGAGTCAACAATGATGCAATTTTTTTGCTCTTCATAGGAATTCTTAGTCAACATGTCCTCAAAGCTATACATAAAATACTATCAGATATAATATAAAATAAAATCATCCTGTATAAAAGTGGAGATAAAGAGATAATTTTATTTTAGAATAAATCACCAACCGTGAAGATACATAAAATGATTATTTTTATTATAGTAATCTTTCCAATATGGAAAAAAATATTTCTCAACATCCATCATCATTCCACTACTATTGGATTCATGACTTGACAGATACACCTTGTAATAACCCACTAAAGGCTAAAACTGCAATATAGTGGTAGAAAGGTCGAACCCACAGGGACAGAGGAACACACAGGGTACAAAGTGTCACGTTTTAACAGACTATTGAGGAGTTTGAATTCTCAGGCAACTGTCACTCCCAGAAATACTGCAAGTGTCCACTCGGAGCGCACTCGGAGGTCGCACAGTGCAGCGTAACACACACACACACACACACACACACCTAAAACTACAGAACACAACCCAGAGATCCGTTAGGACCTCTACTTCAAGATTTCAGGGGGAAAGTCTCTCGCGAGCACACTCGGCAAAGCTGCGGGCAGTGACTTCCAACTCCGGCTTTTACAACACTTCCACTAGCTTGCTGCTAGTGTAGGAAACCCGGTTTGGACTGCCTACTTCGGATCGAAGTCACTCCTACGCGGTGAACAACACTCTCAACTCACAAAACGCGCAGAGAACACAGGTCCGCACTGAAGGACTCACGGTGAAACATTCCAGTAACACAACAACAGTCTATTGAAGAGTTTGAATTCTCAGGCACTTGTCATTCCCAGAAATACTACAGGGGTTACCCTCAAGGCACCTGCTGCAGCGTAACCTGAATTTACAACCAAGGCTTACACGAAGTAGCAAAACTTCACTTTGGCATTCAGGGGAAAAATCCCAAGGAAGTACAATCAGAAAGAAACACTCGAAGGTGTAGGGGCGAAACTGTTCAAGTATCTAACTAGTCACTGGCTCTGAGCATCGGCAGTCACCCGCAGGTGCAGATCCGAACTACTCAAGTCTCTAACCAAGGTACTAGCTCTGAACATTCGGCCGAAGGCCTTCAGCTACAAAATGCGGAACGCTAAGTTGTAACTCCTCCTGCGTGGTGACAGAACTCAAGGACACAAACACGCAAAGGAAATGGGTTCCTGATCTATACTTCTGAGTTTGGGAAAGAACCCCAGGCAAAACGCCTGGAACTATTTTATACCTCTAAATCCTAACTAACACTGCACTGCACTACGCTACACGCCTGCACGGAACCACGCTACACTACACTCCGCGGAACCTGTACTACGTCTCCTACGCGGCCGACTGCCGCGCACTAACTCTCTACCCTGCCACTCTTCCGCTCGACTGCGCAGTCCCAACCGCTGCAACGCCGCGGACACCTCCCCCTCGAGGGCGGACATGGTATCCTGTGCCTTCGACAGAAAGGCCTCGAGCTTCTTCGCTACCTTCCGCCGACTCCTACTGTCGCCTGACAACAACCCGGCTGCGCGCAATTCAAACTCACGCAGTGTGAGTTTCTCCTGCGCCTTCACTTCCCAGTGGGCGTAGCCCTTGAGACAGTGGGCGACTCGCCTCGCCGTCTCCACCTTCGTGCGATCCGCCTCCTTCCTGCGATCCTCTTCAATCGTCACTAATTGCGATTCGGTTTCAGCACGTTGCGCCCTCAATTCGCCACACTCTGACTGTAACCTGCGGATTAACTCTTCATCCGCCTGCCGTGCGAGCTGACATTGTTCCAACAACCGCGTCTGTCGCACGAGCTCCTCTGACAAAATCCGATTCTGGGCCTGCTCAGAATCGAGTGCTTCCTTGACCTTCACCTGCTCCTTGGTGAGCTCGCCCAGTTTCTCATCCTTCATCTTCTCGGAGTGCTTGTAGAATTTCTGATTAAGCTTGTACTGACCCCACAAGCACTCATGCTTCTCCTTCAAGTCTCTCAACTCCTGGTCCACTCTAGCTAATAGCTTGCTGGTGTGGACTTTAGTGCGAGTCCTCCTGCGCACTAACTCGATGTAAGATCCCGGCTGGAGTGGGTCGGCGTATTTATCGACCTTGCGATCCAAGTACCGCAGCAACGGAATCACCTGCTCAGAGAGCGCCGCCGCCGGCGCTCCAACAATTTCCTCCTCCTCCTCCTCGGTGTCTTCTGCTCCTGACATTTCTTCCGTGGAGCCTCCGTCGTCATCATCCGAGTGGAGAATTTCAGTCGCCATTGAATGCGTCGGCGACTGCCCCGAGTGGGGCTGCACGTCCTCGACGTGTGCTGCCTGCGAAGGCACGGCTGCGGCCTCACTGCTCGTCGCCAAAATGTCTAAGGCGGAAGGCGAATGTACCCGCGCGGCATCCCCGTCGCTTACTTGTTGATTGCCTCCCGCATTCTCTCTGTCGCCGTCGTCCGTCGCCGAAGGCGATCGAGCGGAGGGTGGCTGCGCGGGGTTGGAGTGCGCATCGCGCATCGAGATGTCGTCCCGCGGACAGTCACTCCGCTCTTCCGTCTGCTGCTCCCTCGATCGGTCCGTGGGGGCTGTGCCCGGCCCGTGCGCAGGCGCATTTGCCGGCGCCTTGTCCGCCGCAGGCGTAGCGCCGCGGACATCTATCGCCGAAGGCGACATGGCCGGGGGCCGCACGCCCGATGTTCCTCGGCCTATAGGCCCTACCGCCGAAGGCGCATCTATCGGCGGACTTCCCGCCGATGGTGCGGCCTCCGCACGCTCTCTGCTCGTATACCCTCGGCTCGAAGGCCCTGGCGCCGAAGGCGCGAATTGCGGCGCGTGGTGCGCCGGAGGGTCTGGCCCCGAGGGCCGGTGTCTCGTAGGCGGTTCTTCCGCCGGCTCCTTCCCCTTCCTACGTTGGAACGGGGGTGATTCTTGCCTGTGCACAGGCGGCACGTGCGGAGGTGTTCTGTGCACAGGTGACCTGTGCACAGGCGAGCGCCTGTGCACAGGCGGACTGCTCCTTCCCACGCGTAAGCGTAGATCCACGTCCACTTGTGTTCGCCGGTCCGCGGAGGCTCGTCCGTCCGCGGAGGTTCGCCTGTGCGCAAACGGAACCTCTGTCCGCACCGCACGTGGTAACTCCGGAGGCCCTTGGCCCGTAGGCGGCCTCTCTCCCGACGAGGTTGCAGCGTGGCCCGTCGCTCCTGCGGTCGTCCGCGCTTCCTCTCGCCTCTCCGGCGACGCACTTCCTATCTCCGTCGCAATCGTCGCCGTGTCTGCACTGTCAGCTGGCAACACCAGTCTGCGTGCCTTCTGCTTCGGCCGGCTGTATGGCTCGCACAGCGGCCGCGGTCGAATGGGAGCAGAGAGTTCTTGATGCTGCTCCTCTTCGGACTCTTCCCTCCATCGCCGCTTCCGCGGCACTCGCGCTGCAGGGGTGTGTCTCCCTTCGTCTCTCCGTCTTGATGGGGTAGAAGTCGGGGACTCCTCTGCGTCAGTGTCGACCTCGTTCTCCCGCACATACTTCCCGGGATGGTCGATGGACAATGGCGGAAAATGTTCAAGCTCCGCCGCTGTCAAACAATTTCGCTGTCGATAAAAATTGATGAGGAAAGGAGAAAGATGGTTTAGAGTTCCCCCCTTCTCCTCAAACGCGTGCTGTCGCATCACCCTGTGCAGGATGCTCGCCCAGTGAATTGGAGTTCCCTCGATGACGCACTCCACAAAAGAGACCTGCCACAATGTGATGTAGCAGGCGCGGTGCGGCTGCAGTAATTGCATCAGCGCCGCGGACAAAGTCCGGCGAAATCGATCCTTGTAATCACGGGTCCTGTACCCATTCTTGGTAGACCTCCCGGTCTTGAACAGCTCCACAAATTGCGCCTCTTCTTGCTTGGTCACCTTGATGCTCTCACTGTCGAAAAGGAGATGCCCTGGCATGCCAGCACATCTTCCCAACGCCTGCGCCCAATCTTGGACTGTCCACCGGTCAACATGCGGACGCAATCCGCGCGAGGGTGGTCCCTGTGGCTCTAGCCACTCGCGCACCATATTCGCGCAGATGTAATTCCATCCCCATAGCAAGAAATCGAGCTTTCTTGCTATCAAGCGCTCTTCGAAAGCGCGCAGCCCGTTCTGCGGCAGGCGAAGTGGCACCATCCGCAATCTGCTCGGTCTCGCCATTGCGTTCCTGGGGTTCGCTCGCCCGCTCATTCTACTTCCGCACTGTCCGCGTTTCTTTCTCTCTCGGCAAACTCTAATCGCTCTCAATTCCAAATCACGCGTACTCACTTCTCCCTCAATCAGCAAGAAATCTCCTGTGTGACGACGTCGAGAATGGTCCGCAGCCAGCAGATGGATGCGCGCAGCGCGCACAAGAGATTGGAATCGCGAATTCAAGAATGGGACGCTCTCCGCCGCCCGGTCGAAGGTCATGGTCGGCTCTTGGTCGTGAAGAACGTCTCACTTGATGGCCGCGCCGGCTGTACGCTGGAACGGTCTTCGCTCTCACGCGCGGCTTCACGCTCCGCCGTCGTCGATTAAACTCTCACGCTCGAATTGGCGTATTTGAACTCCGCGAGCGTGTCGCCCTGCGGACATGGGGGCGTAGCGCCGAAGGCGAGTTTTCCGCCTTGCGCGGTACACTTGTTCGTACCGCCCCTCGGCCAATCCCCTTCTGCCTTGACGCGTGTGTC